GTGGCAGTGCAGGTCCAGGGGAAAAGGGGCTTCCCTGCATCCAGGAGGGAAATGGGTTAGGGCTGGCATTCTGAAAAACCATCTCTTTGCTGGGCTGGTGAATCGAGGAAGCAGGAAGGTGGGACATGTGGCACAGGGACATAAGAGATGACTATGCCTAGCCTGCTGCTTGCCTAGTTAGTGCTCACATCCCACCTGTGCTTCTCCAGAAAGCTGGACTGAACGAAAGGCCCTTTCCACTCCTACCTGTTCTGCCACCATTCATCCCCGGGGCCCCAGGCTAGTGAGTGATTTAGCTTGGAAGACTGTCCCTCACCCCACCCTGCCCCTGCCAGCTCAGAGCTCCTGAAGCCTGATGTTCTGTGTGGGGCTCCTGCTCAGGGAGGAATTCGCCAATGTGTCTGGGGCAGCATGGGTTTTGCTCCAAGGAAGGGCTTCAGGAAACCTGGTCACACTCATTATTGGCTCCTTAGCGGTGTCCTGTGGCAGAGCAATGAAGTTTTTCTCTTTCATTCATTTATTCATTCATTCAACAAACACTTCTGCATGTCTGCTGGGTGACTGGGCGACAGAGCTAAAACAGGACCTCACGGGAGTAACTGCAAGTGGTGGATGCTGGTGGATGATGAAGGAATGTCAGATGCTCTGGGAGGGAGGCCTGGGAAGGGGCATCACATCCTAGAGTGGCACTGCGCTGGGTGAAAAAGGACACAGACACTGTCTGACCCAGCTCCTTCCTTGCAGTTGAGGCCAGCAAGGGGACAGTTGTCCGAGGACCCTCTGCAAGTTGGAGCAGCACTTCTGGCTCTGAGGCAGAGCAGCTCTGTCCCTTTCTGCAGGGGTGTGCCTCCCTCTCCAGGATTCCTGGGCCTGAAAACATTTCTCGGGTTCATGTGACAATGGTAAGAGGGCAGTGATGGGGCCAGGTCCTTGACAGGGTGCTCTTTTAGTTTATTCAAGGACACATCAGTGACCAGCCCAGGAAGGAAGGCTCAGGACCCTCTGGCCCTCAGGGAAGGGAGAAATGTGGAGGGGAGGTAGAAATTCTCTGCTCGGTCTACAAGAAAGCCTGCTACCCAAGCAGTGTCCTAACGGGCCCCTCACCCAAGACGTAGGCTGGACTTCTCCGCTGAGTAAGAGCTACTGCTTTCTGGAGGGCCTGCCCCGCTTCTCCAGAGTGCATCATGCAGACCCTGTTTTTCTCCTCCATCAAAGAGCAATATCATTGGCGCTCACCCTTATGGAATTGCCAGGAAGCATGAAATGGGTTTGTGTGTGTCCAGCGCCTGTGCAGGACTGGACATACAGGAGGGCTCTGTAAATGTGAGATGTTATTAACAGGCGTGCTGCCCTCTGGAGCTTTCCAGGGCCTTGGCCCAGGTGCAGAACAGCGCACTGGGACCCAGGAACTCTTTCTTTCTGGAGACCTTGGGCCCCCGAACCCCTCAGACTTCTTGGGCCTTCTAGGTGTTGGCCTCCCTCTCATAGGATGATGCCTGGGCCTGGGACCCTGGAGACCTGGCCAGGCTAGAGTCGGCTCCCCCAAGCCACCTGGCAGGGCAAGGGCTCTTGGAAACCATTACTCCTCTATACCATCCCAGCCAGTCCTCCACCGGTATAGTCTAGAGATTCCTCCCGCTTAGGGTTGCTCACTCTAGGCCACTCCTACAGGGAATGGGAGAAATCAGCTGAGAAATAAAACAGTGATTCATACTGCAAAGAAGGGACTAATTTCTTTATCATTCAAAGAACTCCTACCTAGCAACAAGAACAAACCAATAACCTAATATAAAAAAATGGGCAAAGTATAGGAAGACAGTTTCAAAAGAATATATAAGTGGCTCTTAAATACATGAAAAGTTACTCAGCCTTATTCATAAAACAAATGCAAATTAAAACTTCAGTAAAAGACCCTCTTTTATGTAGAGTGTGGTGGTTCACGCCTGTAATCCCAGCACTTTGGGAGGCCAAGGCAGGTAGATCTCTATAAAAAAATGCGAAAACTGGCTGGGTACAGTGGCATGTGCCTGTAGTCCCAGCTACTCCGGGGCTGAGGCAGGAGAATCGTGTGAGCCTGGAAGGCAGAGGTTGCAGTGAGCTGAGGTCGTGTCATTGCACTGCAGCCTGGGCAATGGGAGAGAAACCCTGTCTCACAAAAAAAGAGACCCTCTTTGAGCCATCAGATGGAAAAGATCAAAAGTAGGGCACACGCTGCTGCTGACGGTGCAAGGACAGGTGCCCGAGTGTGGGGCTGGCCGGAAGAGGAATCAGGACCTCTGGGAGAGCCACTGGCAGCCCCTGCCCAACTGCACCTGCTCTTCCCTCTGACCAGCACAGCCAACCCTAGGATTTCATCATGTGGATACACAGAGGGCGTGTGTGTACACAGAGGACATGTGTGTACACAGGGGGCGTGTGTGTACACAAGGGACATGTGTGTACACAGGTGGTGTGTGTGTACACAGGGGACATGTGTGTACACAGGGGGCGTGTGTGTACACAGGGGGCGTGTGTGTACACAGGGGACATGTGTATACACAGGGGGCGTGTGTGTACACAGGGGGTGTGTGAGCTACTCTGGGCCTCAGTTTTCTCATGTGCAAAATGGGAACAATAATGTTTTGTCTTTGACTTGCTGGCCACAAAAGCCCTGGGTGAAAGGTAACTTCGTGTGGATGACTGCTCTGAGCTGCCTCCTCCTGCACCTCTGATGTGCCCGCTTTCTAGAGAGTGTGAGCTTCCAGAGGGCCATGCTTTTTAGCAGCAGGGGCCTGGGGCAGTCAGATCTACTGGGGAAGCAGGTGAGGGGTTATCTCCAGGGCACCAGGGTGACAGTGCTCAGGGATCGTAAGGTTCACATTCTCACCCACGTACTTCCTCTTTAACTTATTTTGACTCATAGCCAATCCTTGCTTGCTGTTCACTGAGACAAGCCTTTATCGGCTGAGGTCTCTGGGAGGGTGCTAAGAAGGGTACGAAGGGGCTGGGCTCTTTACTGGGGGTGGGAGCGTCTGAATAAAAATAACCAACTTGCCTCACCACCAGGTCTCATTCAAGTACCATCTGGGTGCTTTACAGCCGTTAGCTGATTTTCCCCTCAGCCAAATGACAGGGAGAAATGCTCACTAGCCCCATTTCACAGACGAGGAAGCTGAGGCACAGAGAGGTTTGTAGCTTGAGGTCACCCAGCTAGAAAAGAAGGAGCCAGCATTTGAAATCAGGCAGCCTGACTCAGAGTAGACAGGAGACAGAGGTGAAGTTAGCCAGGAGGTGAAGACCTCAAGAAGAGCAGGTGGAGGCCCCAGGCAGGGAGGTGAGGAAACCCCGGGAGAGTGCCGTTGCTAGCGCCCCTAGTTGGGGTCCCCTCCAACTCCTTTCCTCCCTCTATGCCAGCCAGATGGGAGAGGTGAGTGGAGGAGAGGACATTGTCTTGTCTATTCAGGGCTTTCTCCTTGTCAAAACCTGTCAGGTTTTCCTCGGAATCTCACAAGGAGCAGAGCAGGGGCTTCCACCAGCAGCCTTGGACTGGCACGTGCCTGTTGGCCACACATGGTTTTAGAAGTCAAAGGAACCAGGCTAGGATGGGTTTAGTCTCCATACCCGGTGGTCTGCAGAGACTCTGCCCACTGTCCCATGTGCAGGCCTGTGCTGTGTCCCATGTCACCCCCTTGGGCCTGCCAGTATTCACATTCCTGCCCCTCTGTGTAAATGTCAGGTTTCCCAGGTTATAGCAAAGAAGTCAGTGAAATGCACACGGAGGACCTGCTGAGAGCCAGGCCTTTCACCCTCCTTTGTTTACAGGTGAGGAAACCAGGGTTCAGGAAGAGTCACTTGCGGGAGGAAGGCCCAGAGCTGGGATTTGGGTGGACATGACCTCAAGCCTCAGCCCACCTCCCACCACCCACCCCCAACACTGGGGGCCCGGGAAAGGAAACCTTTCCACCCAGGTACCCATGTCACTTGTTCCGTGCTCATTTGCATGGGCCCTCTCTGTGCGGAGGCCACCTTCACACGGGTTGCTGGAGGGTGGCCTCTGGTGAGCTGCATGTGGCTGGCCTTGTTGCTGCTGAAAGGCAAACCACAGAAGCCACACTGAGGGGTCCCGAGGAGGAGCCACAGTGTCACATGGCAGCAGGCTGCATCTGGTGGGGGAGCTGGGGAAGGTTTGAAGGGAATCTCTGCCTCCCCTCTAGCTCTGCTTTCTCCAGAATCACAGAGCAGTCACAGAGGCAGGATGGAGTTCCTTTGTCCACCCATCACCTGCCTGAGAGCCTTTGTCTGCCTCCTCACTGGCTCCATGGCCAGTCTAAGTTCAGCTGTGGATTCTAGACCTTTCATGACCTGTGTGTCACCCTTTGATTGTTTAGGCCAAGCTGGTTTCTCCATCCTTCCCGTCTCATTCCCACATTTTTATCTATGTTCCAACCATTGCTGCTTCCTGGAATTCCTGTCCCTACCTCCCCTCCTCTGCTCGAGAAAACATTTCCAGGATTCCTTTAAACCAAACAGAAGCTCTGCCTTCCCCAGGCCTGGCTTCAGTGACAGCCCCAACCCTCTTCGCCCACCGAGCCCTTCCCCGGACTCCGCCCACATGCAAGGTCTCTGCCTGCTTGAGGGCAGAGCTGCTGGAAGCAGGTTTGCAGAGGCGTCAGGTCTGAGGGGGAGGCCACCCAGGACAGAGCAGGTTCAGGCTGGAAACCCCAACCACACAGTCCCAGAGAGGGTGGAGGCAGGTTGCAGTCACAGTGAGAGGGAGGGAGGTGGGCTTCTGACGGGGAAGATTGTGAGACCCATTTCCTGGCAGGTGCTTTTCTTAGATCCTAAAGTGGTCCCTGTGCCCTGGGCTGGCCAAGGTGCAGCTCTGCAGGGGCAGATACATCATTTCAATTCATTTCAATAGTTTCAATAGCTTTTAAACAATTTCAGTGACTGGTTTGCTGTTGAAATAAGGATGATTACAATTTAGATTTAAACTCAGGTTTTTTTTTTTTTTTATCCAACCTCCATAGAGACTGTCAAAAATTGCCAATGCTGACTATATTTCAAGTCGTCATGGCAGAGTATTGGGAAAAGTTTTCAATTAGCAATAATTGCTCCTCGGATAAACCTCATTGGCTGCGATGCTGGCACTGTGCGAAGCTTAGACTCAATTTTTTTTTTTGAGATAGAATCTTGCTTTGTCACCCAGGCTGGAGTGCAATGGCGTGAACTCGGCCCACTGCAACCTCCACCTCCCGGGTTCCAGCGATTCTCCTGCCTCAGCCTCCCGAGTAGTTGGCACTACAGGCATGCGCAGCCACGCTCAGCTAATTTTTGTATTTTTAGTAGAGACAGGGTTTCACCATGTTGGCCAAGGATGGTCTCGATCTCCTGACCTCGCAATCTGCCCTCCTCAGCCTCCCAAAGTGCTGGGACTTCAGGTGTGAGCCACAGCACCCAGCCTAGACTCAGTTTTAAGATACAAGTTAATCCTCCCAACAGCTCATGAGGCCTAACAGATGTGGTGACCATTCTTCCCTCCTAGAAGTGGGAAGCTCAGGGTCATCTGGTGGGTAGCTCCCCAGGGCCCCCAGTTGACTACAGCACCTGGTTTCCAGTCTGGGTCTTCACCTGCCCCTCCCACGCTCTGCCTGTTATACGCCTTCCCTTCAGAGCCTGAACATCGTGGAGGGTGGTGGCTCCAGAAGTAGACTGGCCTCTGCTGAACTTCCTGCTCCTCCATTCAGACCAGCTGGGCAACCATCAGCTGGTCCTTTAACCTCTCTGGGTTTCTGATGGTTGACCTGGAAATGGATGTAGTGGAACCCATCCTGAAGGGCTGTTGTAGTTTACACTGGATGAGGGGACTCCATCTGCACACTCTGGCACCGGGCAGTGGTCCATCAATGCTGCCTGGTCATATGCCCTCTTCCTTGCTAACACAAGCAAGGCCCTTCTCAGAGGCCAAACGCATCCTGCCATGGGCATGCGTGCGCAATCAGCGCCTTCTGTGTGTGGGCTTGTAACTGATTGCTTTCATGTACTAGATCTTCCCTGGCCCTCTTGGGAAGCTGGTGCCGTGGGATTATTTTCAGCACCTCATAGACAAGGAGACAGAGAGGTTTGGAAATGGGATCAAGTCACTGAGCAAGGCAGGGTCCACCAGGACTGGACCCAGAGCTGATAGCGCCCAGCTCGAGGTGGATTTTCCTGTCCTACTTTCCTGGTTCTTCATTCATGCCTTCATGCGAGGTCTTTCCAAAACCCGAAACAAAATTCCCCCAAACCTCTGAAAAAACAGTCCAAATGGACCATCGCCCCCCTGCCTGGGCGGGGCCGAGTGAACCCCGGCACTGCGCATGCTCATGTAAGGCCTCGTGCCTCCCTGGGCCACGTCTTCCCGGTCACAGGCACTGACATGGCATTGCTGTCTGTCCAGGTCTCACGCACAATCCAGGGCGGCCGCTAACTCTCTGTCTTCCAGCGCACAGAGATTCTTCTCACGGGGCCTCAGGTCCCTGTTCCAGAAGGCCTCCTAGGTCTCACCGGGCTCTGTCCCTCCATGGTACCCAGCGTGGGAGGCGGCTGTGTCATCACAAGGGAGCAGCTTCATCATTTCCACAGCCTGCAGGCCTCCCCCGAGAGGGGACTGCACTGAAGCCGACTTGCTTGCAGTCCCGCTGGAAGCCACTCTCCTCTCAGCAGGGCCCAGGTGGTCAGCCATGAACCTCTTATGGCTGAAGCCCCACCAGCATCCCCCACCTCTTCCCAAGGAGCCGGGCAAGAGAGAGGGATGGAGAGCTGTGTCTGCGCATGCGCAGAAACACACCCTCCCCACCCCAAGTTCAAGGGCTGCCCTCTGTCTGGACTGTTTCTAGCAAAGGAGAGAGAATCAGGCCCAGCCGCGGCCAGACCCGTCATCTTATTTTCCAGAAGCCTTTGGAAGCTGGGGCTGTAAACGCCTGCTCCTCTCCAACTTGTCTCAGGAGAGGCAACAGGGTGCAGTTGCCCAGCCCTCCCTCAGGCTGGCCCCCACAGCCTCCTGCTCTGCTAGGAAAATAAATCACCCTCATCAATTCCCAGCAGTCCCACACAGGCTGGAGAGCTGCAGAGAGGCTTCTGGGCCTGCTTCTGGTGACAGTGGCAAAGCTGCACCCCACTGGCCTCGGTTCCCTCAGTTTCTTGCTCTCAGTGCACCGCGTACCTGGTGTTTGAAAAGCGTCTGATTCTTTTAGAAGCACATTCATGAAGTCGACAATGTAATTCTGTCACTGGCTGTCATGCACTTATTGATCATGTGTGGAGAAGACCGTCGGGGAGCTGCGCCTGGCACCGGCCCTCAGGGAGTATAGCAGGGTTGGGTGGTTCTGGCAGTAGCTGACTGAGAGAGGGATGGTGACTCAGAGTCTGACGGTGGGTCAAGCAAGTCCTGAGATCTGGAAGACTCTGCTCTGCAACTTTCTGTGTAACCTTGGGCAAGTTACACAGCTCCCTTGAGCCTGTGTTTCGTTGCCTCAAAAAGGAAGCTTGTAAGGATAGAACAGGACAGAAAAACCCAGGGCTTTGCATACAGTGAGGTCCCTTAACTAGCAGCTACGATTTCACCTCCATTTCACAGGTGAGGCGCTTGGGGGCGGGAGCTACTAAGAGGGAAATTAAATAATTTCCTGTCATCTGTAGTTGCTGCAAAATAAGGTTTACTGTGTTGTGTTCAATCTCAAACCTAACCCCCAACTCTGCTTAAAATTAACCGGCTCCCTGTAAAACCTACTTTCTCTATTCTCCCCACGTTCTCAGCGAAGTTCCCAGGCATCTCAAAACTCCTGTTTTTCTTGCTGACCAGCTGCAAGGTCACAGGGCAAGATAACACCCAAAGAATGTACAATGTGTTTCTCAAAAATGCTATTTTTCAAATGTAATGTATATCACAAGACATGTTACAAACTAATTAACCATTCTTTGTTCTGGCTTCTGTAAACCTGTTAGATGCTGCATCATCCTGCATGTATGAAAAGTACCTGGCTGGGCGCGGTGGCTCACACCTGTAATCCCAGCACTTTGGGAGGCCAAGGCGGGTGGATCACGAGGTCAAGAGATCGAGACCATCCTGGTCAACATGGTGAAACCCTGTCTCTACTAAAAATACAAAAATTAGCTGGCCATGGTGGCACATGCCTGTAGTCCCAGCTACTCGAGAGGCTGAGGCAGGAGAATTGCTTGAACCCAGGAGGTGGAAGTTGCAGAGAGCCGAGATCGCACCATTGCACTCCAGTCTGGGTAACAAGAGTGAAACTCCATCTCAAAAAAAAAAAAAAAAGAAAAAGTACCCAATTTTCTCTGTCCTTTGCTCAGCCTTGGGATGCTAATCGGCTGAGCTGGTGGCCACCTTTTTAAAATCCTCCTGTTCTACCTGTTGGTCTCTCTGGTCTCCTGAATATTCTGCAACACTATGACCTGGTAAGTTTCCTCCCTCAGCTTGTGAGACCTCCACATCCAAGTCTCACATGAGCTCACCTGGAAGAGGGTAGGGCCAGGAGCTTGCAGGTAGAGTCTGCCAAGCTCTCAATGGGCACTCACAGCCTCAGAGGAGAGGAGAGGCTGAGACCAAGAAATGGGGAACTAACTGGGGAGACAGAAACTGAGGGGCTCCGATGGAACGCCAGCCAATGGGAGAGACAGGCTGAACGAGTGTGGGCCTGTGGCTTGCGATGGCTTCCTGAATGCTGCCAGCCTGGCTTTTGGATCAGAACAGTCTTTTAGGGACTGGAAGGGGAAGGCCATTTCAGGGGATTGGGAGCAGCACAAGCAAAGATTTATTGTATTTATTTATTTATTTTGAGACAAAGTCTCATTCTTTCCCCCAGGCTGGAGTGCAGTGGCACGATCTTGGCTCACTGCAACCTCTGCCTCACAGGTTCAGACAATTCTGCTGCCTCAGCCTCCTGAATAGTTGGGATTACAGGCATGTACCACCACGCCCAGCTAATTTGGTCAGGCTGGTCTCGAACTCCTGACCAAGCCCACCCACCTTGGCCTCCCAAAGTGCTGGAATTACAGGCTTGAGCCACTGCACCCAGCCAGATTTATTTTAAATACATGATACAGAGGAAAGGGGGCTTCTGTGACAGCCAGGACACATGGTTCTGCATTGCGTCCTTATCCTCTCTGGGCTGCAGAGGGAATAGGCCTAGAAATCCTAGCTTAAGTTTCCTGCATTCTTCCTATGTGTGGGCATGGTTCTAAATGCTTCATGGAGATTACCTTATTTAACCCTCACCGCACCCTGCGAGGCAGCATGGCACACTGCATCACTGCTAAGGTACAGAGCCGGTGGGGCAGCTGGTTTGGGTTCACAGGTTTTCAAGGGGCAAAGGGAGGAGCATGAATGCAAGCAGCCTAACCTGCCTTGCTTCTCAGGGCCCTCTGGCGCTGGAATCCTGGGGCCCCTGGGCTGCGGCAGGGGAGCTCTGGGGTGCTGTGGTTGGTGCTGCCTGCACAGACCTGCCTTAGCTGTTGATAACAGCGTCTCTGTGGCAGCCCCGTGGGCCTCCCTGGAGCCCAGCTGGCAAACCGTCCCTGCCAGGTTGTATGGCATGTCCTTCTCCATGCAGGTGTGCAGAGACAGCCTGGGACTTGGAAGGCTGGGGTCCTCCCTGCAGGTTCTGTGGGAGCTGTGCCCCTTAGCCTCTCAGACTTCAGCAGTTCCCATCTGCACAGGGACATCACAATGCCCTCTCCACCAATGTCGCAGGGTTCGGACACTTGGGGATGGGCAGCAGGGCCCAGCACCCCCTTGCGTGAGAGGTGGAGACGCCAAGGGACATCTGAGCTGAGCCAGGCGCTAGGATCACAATCAACGCAGAAATTGGCCCCAGAGGAAGCTGCTGCTCAAGGGTGTTTATTGGTTGTCCCAAAGTCACACACATAGGAGGTGGCATAGTTAGATAACTCAGAACAGCGCCCTCCCGGCCATTCTCCCCAGGAGGAGGACTTGTCCTCTGCTCAGCCTTAAAGAAAGCCTCAAGCTCAGTAGCACGCATGGGGCCAGAGATGCCCCCAGCTGGCTTCAGCACAGGCTGAGTCTGCAAGAGGAAAGAAAGCCACATGTCATCAGTGGTGACCCCGGCCCAGCTGTGGTAGGAGACCACTCAGGGGGATGGAA